CAGCAGATCATGACTGAAAGAGATGAACATACCTGGTAAGTCAGCTTGCATGGCTCCTGGGAAATCTTTAAAATCATTCATTATTCCATTTTATTCATTTTTCTAATTGAATAAATTGAATAATAAATCAATTAATGAATCTAAGATCAGTTGTGGGTTTCCCTTTACCTAATTATTATTCTATAAATATTTTCTCTATTGCATTCTTGGGTGAAATGTAGAGATTTGTTATTCTTCCTTTTAGAGGGACTACAGAAATTATATTTTTGTAAGTTAGGCTCATAATTTTTCACGCTTACAAGTAGCAGACCACTTCACTGGAGTTACGTCACAGAGAAAATCTCTTCATAACTCACTTTATCTTAATTGAATAGATTGACCATCAGAGACACTCAATGCTGAAATACAAATCTTCTCTTTGACTTGGTTTCACCAGGAAGAGCAACAACGGTCATGGATCAGAGCAACGCAAGTGCTCCAAAGACCTTCATTCTCTTGGGTTTCTCCAACCAACCCTGGCTGGAAATGCCCCTCTTCGTAGCGGTGCTTGTTGCTTATGTCTGCACACTGGTTGGCAACATGTCAATTATTGTGGTATCCAGGGTAGACCCTCTTCTTGACAGCCCTATGTACTTCTTCCTTTCCAACCTCTCCTTCCTAGACCTTTGTTTTACCACAACCACCATCCCTCAGCTGCTGCTGAACCTCTGGGGCCCAGACAAGTCTATAAGCTATGGTGGCTGTGTGACCCAGTTTTATATGTTTCACTTTTTGGGAGCCACTGAATGCATCCTCTTAGCTGTGATGTCCTTGGATCGTTACATTGCCATCTGCAAGCCCCTGAGGTATGCGGCTATCATGCATCAGCGACACTGTATCCTCCTAGTGTCCATGGCATGGCTAAGTGGTTTGTCTAATTCCTTGCTTCTGTCGTCCCTCACCATCCAGCTGCCACTTTGTGGTAACAACCAGGTAGANATTCCTTGCTTCTGTCGTCCCTCACCATCCAGCTGCCACTTTGTGGTAACAACCAGGTAGATGACTTTCTGTGTGAGGTTCCAGTGATGATCAAGATGTCATGTGTTGACACCACATTCAATGTAGCTATGCTCTCCATTGTGGCTTCGTTCTATGTCTTGGTTCTCTTGTCATTTATCCTTGTCTCCTATGGGTTCATTGTAGCTACTGTGCTTGGGATTCAGTCCTCAGATGGAAAGAAGAAGGCCTTTAACACATGCAGTTCTCATGTTATTGTTGTGTCTCTCTTCTATGGGCCAGTAATTAGCATGTATGTTCAGCCCTCTGCCACTAGCACCCAGGAGAAAAACAAACTCATGTCCTTGTTTTACAGTTTGGTGACTCCTATGCTTAACCCTTTTATCTACACATTGAGGAACAAAGACATGAAAGGGGCAATAAGGAGGCTTCTTGTCTCATTGTACCACTGGGGAAGAGAACAAACCTAACTGCTTTTATACTCTACACTCAGTACACAGCTCAGAAGATCTCCTGTTTTAAAATTACCTCTTGATTTTACCTCCTTCAAAATTGCTGGTATCCTTTAGTACCTACCTTATTTACAGATATGTTTCTGTACTACACTGCTATGGTTTGTTGGATATAATTTCAAATGTTAGACCTAATCCTCAGATTGTTTATATGTTTCAGTTTTTGGGAGCCACTGAATGCATCCTCTTAGCTGTGATGTCCTTGGATCGTTACATTGCCATCTGCAAGCCCCTGAGGTATGCGGCTATCATGCATCAGCGACACTGTATCCTCCTAGTGTCCATGGCATGGCTAAGTGGTTTGTCTAATTCCTTGCTTCTGTCGTCCCTCACCATCCAGCTGCCACTTTGTGGTAACAACCAGGTAGACGACTTTCTGTGTGAGGTTCCAGTGATGATCAAGATGTCATGTGTTGACACCACATTCAATGTAGCTATGCTCTCCATTGTGGCTTCGTTCTATGTCTTGGTTCTCTTGTCATTTATCCTTGTCTCCTATGGGTTCATTGTAGCTACTGTGCTTGGGATTCAGTCCTCAGATGGAAAGAAGAAGGCCTTTAACACATGCAGTTCTCATGTTATTGTTGTGTCTCTCTTCTATGGGCCAGTAATTAGCATGTATGTTCAGCCCTCTGCCACTAGCACCCAGGAGAAAAACAAACTCATGTCCTTGTTTTACAGTTTGGTGACTCCTATGCTTAACCCTTTTATCTACACATTGAGGAACAAAGACATGAAAGGGGCAATAAGGAGGCTTCTTGTCTCATTGTACCACTGGGGAAGAGAACAAACCTAACTGCTTTTATACTCTACACTCAGTACACAGCTCAGAAGATCTCCTGTTTTAAAATTACCTCTTGATTTTACCTCCTTCAAAATTGCTGGTATCCTTTAGTACCTACCTTATTTACAGATATGTTTCTGTACTACACTGCTATGGTTTGTTGGATATAATTTCAAATGTTAGACCTAATCCTCAGATTGTCTGCAATTTGTATAATAGTGAGGACTATGTCATTAAGTTCCTTTATAACCATCTAGAGATTCTACTATAGGAATCTAAAGAACAGGCAATAAATAAATGTTCATTAACTGACTCATTCAGTCGAAAACCAGTCAAACCCTGTCACTTCACATGTTATTATGAAAAAAAATACAAATAATACAGACTGCAATACGTCTTCTTACAATTGGGGATATTCTTTCCAGGTTAATCTCCCATTTGCAAATCAACACTTTCTATGAATTACCAGCAAGAGCAAATGGGTTAATAACACATATTCTACAGCCAAGTCTCTCAATTACAAATTCACTGGCCCTTTAAAATTAAGATAATTCAAAAATAATATCTGATTCTTTCTTTCCTATAGGTCTCAATGGGATTCCTTCCTTTTGAGGTATTTGAGTGAAGTAATTCCTTCTAGGTTCCCAAAAGGAAAAGTTGATGATTAAAATCCTGAGACACTTCCATGTGGTCTCTTAGTATTAAAAATCACTCTGCCTTCATTGGGGAGATAATCTACCTACAATGAGAAAATTAGGTGTATTTTGTAGATAGGCAAAGGATGAAATAGTTTAGTCTTTTAGGAATCAGAGCACTAGGTGGTTAGCAGAAAGGAAGATAGAGAAAGAAAGTGGAGGATAACATGGGAGAAAGTGTATAATAAATTGGCTATTAGACCATCAACTTTGAGATAGAGGTGATGAAGGAGAGAGTTTAATGTTGATGAGGGAGGGGGCATTCTGTTGGCTTTATCAATAATATCAACTCTTCTCATTATAAATTTGTCATTTTCTCATATTTTTCTGCTCCCCACTCTTACAATATCTTCATATTTCAACTTGTGTTTTAGGCATATATTTCATTGCTTTTTTGACAACTAAGTACAATTATGTATGATGTTCATGAGCCTATCCTTGTTAAATTTGAACTGTCCACTTCCAAATGGCAAGAATAAAATCTCTTGATTCATAGTATACAAACCTCTGACACAGGGATACATTGATTCCAATCAATAATTAATTAATTTTAATAATTTTTAAAATTCTTCCTCTTATGCCCTTTGCATTGCAATAAACTTTCCTCTATAGATTTGAAGGTAAGGATACTTCAGTTTTGCTGTTTCTGGAGAGCAGGAAATATCACTCTTTTGGAGGCAAGCTGATTTCTAGTTCAGTCATGTCCATTAAGGGCTAGGTCTTGTGATTTTACTATGTACTGCTCTTTAACAGTACTGAGCACACTTGAAATTCTACATTCCTTTAGATGACCAGTTCTCTCTCCAAAAAGATCATGAGGGTTATTTTTTTTTTTTCTTATTTGGTCACCATAGTGGTTAGCACAATGGGTGCTACAAAATTCACTCTAAATAAATATTTTTTAAATAAATGAATGAATGAAAAATATTGCTTACTGTCCTCATTATCTGCTGTTAAACCCTGTATCAGAGGCTCATACAAAAATGTGTCATGTACTAAATGATGAGTTTGACAAAATAGGTTATATTTTTAAGGCAATGTTTCTCCAACTATCTTATGATAATGTTCAGGTCCAACTATCTTATGATAATGTTCTGTTTCTCCAACTATCTTATGATAATGTTCAGGTATATTTTAAGAACAGTACCTTTTAAAAAATCCATATTGAAACAAATTTGAGAAAAAACATATATTATTCTTGATATTTGGAAGGGAAATTAATATATTAATTACCCTGATTTGATCACCACATGTTGCATACAGGTATTGATATTCAACTCTGTACCCCACAAATATTTATAATCAATGCTTCAATTAAAAAAACAAGTACTTGAGAACTCCAGAGTAAACTCTGTTAAACAATATTTAAAACAACAGTTCCCAAATACTTTTTTCTGATTTTATTATTTTCTTTTTTAGAGAAAATAACAGCACAATTTGGAATGTAACTCCTTAGAAGACACTGAATCCTAGAATTGTAGAGAAAGTAGATGAGATGAAGACAAGAAAATCTCACTTTTGTGTTGGATGAATGAACACAAGATCTGTGGGGTACTGAGAGAAATCTGCGTATTAATAGTCCCATTTATGTTCCATAGGTATTTGAAACGTCATTATTTATTTAAGATATAATTTTTGCAGTTAATTATTATGCTTGCAATTGTAAAGTCAGTATGATTAGGCAAACTTATTGTTTAGTTTTTATTTTAATATTAAAATAGAAAGAATATGTTGTCTTTTTTGCTGAATATACTTTCTCCTAAAAATATAATTGTTTAATATGTAGCTGCTATAATGAACAAAATAGAGGAATAGTTATAAATTATATAACATTTACAAAAATATATCCAGATCCATATAAATTGCTTTTCGGTAAACATTTGGAAAGACATTTCTTAAATGCATGTTTAAAACGTATCTCCATCTGACAAGTTTTACCATGTATAGGTAAATCTGTACCATATCTAACTTGCTCTACCTTCTGCTCAGCCTTCCTACACATTAGAATCCTTATCAAGCCTTTTTAAATCATAGACTTCACTCCACTGCAGACTTCTTGTATCAAAATATTTAAAAATCATGTCCAGAGAACCATTTTGAAAAACTTCCTCAGTTAGTTTTGATGTGCATACAGAATTAGTGAGGGCCATCACAGGGAAAATATTTTGAAATATTGATTACAGAGGTCAGACAGGATATACTAATGAAGAAAAAGTATGGTCCAAAGCAAGAATAGGAGATAACTCTTGCCAAAGGTATAAAGAATTCTAGATGCTCCAAGCTTAAAGAAAAAAATACAAATCCGTATGCAGAAATCTCTGAACAAATGCTAATGAAAATGCAAGAAGACCCAGTTGGACATCTAGAAAAGGTGATTTCCTTGGAAATAAGTGTTATGTGAAAGTCACATTCAGTACTTCAATCAGTAGTGAAACTTTCACTTATGCACAATAAAGTTTCAAAAAAAGTTTTTCTAGAACTAAAACATATTACAAAGAAACTGAATAGTTACTGTTGATAAATGAATTATCAGTCTGATCAAGCAAACAGAAGAAATACCTCAAAACAAAACAAAAGCAAAAACACCAAAACTATGAGAAATTATGGAAGAAAATATAAGATTTAGAGAATAGACACACTAAACCAAATATAAACAATAGGAGTGGTAGTTGGATTAAAGGCAGTAAATAAAGGAGTAAAAATTAAGTATTTATAGTAAAAATATTCCTGAGTTACAAATAATTACTCTAATCTACAGATTTAAAAGACCCACCATGCTAAAACACAGATAACAGAGGAAAAATACGCCTCACACATATCCTTGTGAACTTACTAAATTCTAAAGATAAGGCAATATCTAAAATGTTTTCTTAGATAAAGTTTGGACAAACTATTAATTTATATCAATCAGAGCAGCCCTCCCACTAAGAGTATGTAGAAAATCTGCATAAAGTTCAAAAAAGAGAACAAATAATGGAAATCATAGCATTATTAACACCTCAGACTTTGGGCTAGAATGACTGAGGGCTGAAGTCTAGGAGTAAGCATAGACTGGGATGTAGACCAGACTTACAAAAGACTGAACCCCAGATTGTATAACCAGCTTTACTGAGGTAAAATATAAGCAGAATAAACTACATAATTTAAAGTACAAAATTCAATGTTTTTACAGTAGTATTTACCAATGAAACCAACACCAAAATCAAGGTAGGGAACATTTCTATCACTCCCCAAAAACTCTTCTTACCTCTTTATCTCAGATTTATTAAACTACTAATCTACTTTATGTCCTCATGGATTAGTTTGCATTTCTTGAATTTCCAGTAGATGGATCTATACAGCATGGAATCTGTGTTTTGTCATTCAATGAAAAGATTTTGAGATTCGTCTAAAATTGTCTCATGTCAGTACTTTGGTCTTTTTCACTGTTAGTAATGTTCTATTGTAGGAATATAAGACAGTTTATCCATTACATCTGTTGGCAGATATTTGTATTGTTTCCAAATTTGTGGCTATTTTGAATAAAGTTCTTATGAATATTCACATAAAAGCCCTCATTCAAACAAATGTTTTCATTTCTCTTGAGCAAATACTTAAGAGCTGGATAAATGGGGCATGGGGTGAGTGTATGTGTAACTTTTTTTTTTTTTTTTTTTTTTTTTTTTTCCGTGTCCAGCAACGGATCGCAACCCTCAGTGTCGCCCCCGTACCGGACCGGGACAGGCAACGGGATTGCAACCCTCGGTGTTGCTCCTGCGCCTCGCTCAGCCAGTGAGCGGGAACCGGTCTGTATGTGGGATCCGAACCCTTGGGCGGGAGTGCTGCCGCGCTTCCCAAGCGGCGCACTATCCAGTGCGCCACCGGGCCGGCCCCAATGTATGTGTAACTTTTAAGAAACCACAAAACAGTGTTTGAAAGTGGCTGTTGTATTTTTTAAATTTATTGCTTTATTTTCATTGATGCATTGTAATTTTACATACTTACAGAGTACAATTTGATGTTTTGATACATATATATGTTGCAAAATGATCAGGTCAGAGTAGTTAATATAACCATCACCTCATGCATTTATAATTTCTTTGTGATGAAAGTATTCAAAAGCCTCTCTTCTAGCTATTATGTAATATACAAAACTGAACTGTTAACAGTAGTCACTCTACTTTGCCATTAGAACACCAGAACTTACTCCTCCCCACATTCCTACCAGCAATGTGCAAGCTGGCTCTAGCCATTTCATCCAGAATTAAGGTGGTTATTTTCTAGTCAACTTACCTTCCAAAAGCAAAAGTAATTCTCTCTGGAAGAGCAGAACAGCAC